CACCTTCCAGTGGAACTATTTACCTTTATGGGGTCCCTGGCAGACTCCCCATAGAGGCTCTGCTCCCACCCGCTATTCCCACCCATGTCCCCACCCGCACTTTTTTGCACCCTCCTCATCTCTTCTAATCCCTAACACCAAGATCTGGCCCCTCCTACATCCTGCTCCTATGTTTCCCATCCCCCAGATTTCTCGCTTTTCCAGATTTCTCTGCAAGAACTCTCTCAATTTATGAATCTGAGTACCAGGCAGGGTCTCTAACATCCTAAGCTTGGGTACACTTTTTTTTCTAGTAATACTTTCGGGTCACCTTTTGCTAAGAGGAGCTTCCGATCAGAGTTTTATTAGATTAGCATGTGGCTTTCTTTTTCCAGGCTGGTATACCTGGTAGAAAAAAGTGGTACATGCATGAATCCATGACCAGCCTTTATAGCAGGGAGCACAATGGGAAGGCTTACAACAATACAAAACACAAAAATTCCCCAGCCCCAACCTGCCAGCCAGCCTGCAACCAAACAAGTAGCCCTGTCAACAGTATGCGTTAAAATCAGAGGTTTTAGTTGCACAAACTTTTGGCCAAAAATATGTAGAAGCCACACTGCCGCGCCAAGGCACCTCTGCAAAGTGTGGTCCTAACTCTATGTATCTGAGTCTCCAAGTGTGAGCATATTAATGAAGTCGATAGATTGCATGCAGGTGTACCTGGAGGTAGCCTACTCCTCCTAATAAGGTGCAGGGACGCACTGGGGGCCCAGCAACCAAAAATGCACGCTGGGACCCCAGTGCATCCCCCTAACCAAAAATAGTCAAACTAGAAAAAAGTGGTACATGCATGAAGCAACTAAAACCTCTGATTTTAACGCATACTGTTGACAGGGCTACTTGTTTGGTTGCAGGCTGGCTGGCAGGTTGGGGCTGGGGAATTTTTGTGTTTTGTATTGGTATACCTGGTAGTTGGCATCACTAATTTTTTTTCTCTGACCTTATTGGGGCCCTACCACTTTGCAAGAAATATATGTCCTACAGTAGGCACCAAAATGAAGACTATCTCTCAAGTTAAAGTTTCTAATTTTTTGCAAAGCAATTATAAACTCTGACCTGTGCTTTTTGGGCTTGATGCATATGTTCTGAACATTTAGTCATGACTGCCACTATCTTATCCTGCATGTGAGGAATGTGTTTGGTCCCACTTTATCCAGGGACCCTGCAGATGTCTACTGTACAAAACTTAAAATTTGGAAAATCCTGAAGGACTGTGGCACATCTCTTATTGAAAGTTCAGTCAAGTTCAGGGAAAATAGTGACATTGATCATTTGAGACACAGTTTCAGAACTGATTACCTGTTTACTCTCCACATTTCCCAAAACCGAGGTAAATAACAGCCCAGTATTACACTATGTGGCAAGTTTTCAACCGCACCCATGACATGCTTTACAGTGCATATATGCACCTCTACCGAGAGCACCACAGTAGAATAGTCTCTAGTATCACCATGTATACAAAGCACTCCCATGGGTCTGAGCTAAGCTTGACAGGGCCCACAAAACTGGCATGGACCAATGTGACGAGGCTTCCAGAGTATAATATTGCCTCCACTGGGATGTCCTTCTATGGTGATAGGACATATCTATCTTCCTGTCTCCAGCTCCAAGGTGTGCTGCAAGAGCCAGCTTGGCAAATAGTGACATACGCCTCATCAGGTACCATTTATAGGCTTATGTGATATGGGGCAATTGGCAGCCATATGTCCCAGTCCTTGGTACCACCAGCAGCTAACATGTTGTGTCTTTCTGAGTAGAGACTCCATTTGGGCTAGGAGGGCATTCATATCTGGTACCCAGTGTTGTCTCACCTCATCACCTTAGGAGCCTATTTTTCCCTTGGATAAAAAGGAACAGTCTTACCCAAGGTCAACATTTTCCTGTTTTCAGAGATTACCGGTTTAGAGCACAGATCCCGAAGATAGCCCTTGGTAGCAGTATGTCACCCTACAAGGGAAACCAGGTCAGCTACACTCTTTGGGTCTAATATGCCTAATATGATGCTGTATTTTAACCAGTAAGACTCTGATGTAATGGTCAAAGACCACTTACTTCACAATCTGAGCAGGATGGAGCACCTTCGGTTGCAACCTCTTGTTTGTAATGTTGAACAAATCCTACATCTGGGACCTTTCCAGGTTCATATTCCTGTGTATACACACTGGGATTTCACCTCTGAGTTTAGGATACTCCTTGGCATCCTGAGGTTGTAATTCAAAGTAACCCTATTGGGGCTCCCCCCATTAAAAAGTTTTCTAGCACTGTTCAATGCTCCTCGGAAAGCTTCTAACATTCTGCATCTCTCTCAAAGATGTTAGGCTACAACAATATCCTCCAGTGATAAAATATACACATCAGGCCCTGTGTAACCATCTGGCTTTTTGACAGGGCCTGTATCTTCTGCTGTAGAGACAGGTTCAGTAATCGTTTTCCTTCTAAGGAGGCCTGATGGACTTTAGTCAGTAGTCACTTTCTCTTTAGGGTGCTGCCCACATCTGAGCAGCAAGTTGTGACAGGGGCACTCAGGAACAGTCCAAGTCTTTTTGTCCAGCACTTTTATTCAGCAAGGCAGTAAACAAACTCAATTTCAATGCAGGAGGGCTTTGTACAGAGAATCCACACCATAAAATAATCAACATATGTTCAACCAAGCCACTAACTAATCTCATGTCAGTTCCTGACTAATGGGGTACCCCGTAACAGGTTCTCCAAAACAAACAGGCAGCTTTTGTACCTTTTTTAGTGTTCTGTCAGAAGTCAACCTTTTTACCCAGCAGCAGGCTTTTACAGCAGAGAGAATGAGAGCAGGAGAACTGATCATCAGTCAGGTCACATATAAAAGTGCCTGTAGACAGGTGTGATTACTTAATGAGGTCTGGTTATGGATGTGGACCTAGGAGCACCCTAAAGTTCAATAAAGACTCTGAGCTCCAGGTCCAAGGACAGGCTTTTATAAGATTATGAGATTTTTATTATTATGATTTTTTTTCTCCCTGTCAGACACAAATCTTGGGACCCGCACCACATGCAGGGGAGAAACCCATCCAGAAACCTGCCAGCCAGTGCTTCACAATATGCAATAAATAAACAACATAGTAGAATGGAGGGAGGGGGTAAAATTCGCAAAAATGCACATTGCCTGTGTAGGCAAGAATCCTAGCACCAGCACTGGGTAAAATGAAGATGCTTTAATGAGGATTAGCATTCTACTATAACATTAAAAAAAGTGGTACAATAGACAAAACAAAAATACAAACTGTGTAAGTATTGTACTAAGTTATTCTGAATAGCACTTAATGCCTTATTAAAGTATAAATCTTACATGTGCTGTGAACCTTGAATATCTTTACACAAAACTACACTGAAAATTATGAAGATTCTTCTGGGATCACGGTGTAGTTGCTCTCACTTTTCAGGTAGATCATTACCTGAGATTATTACTAGATCATTTTAAACTATTGTAACCAACATTATGGGCTAGAGAATGATTTCATGTATCTGCAATAAAAGAAGAGAAATCTGATCTAGTACTGATCTAATTTACAGCAAGATCCGATCAGAATAAAAAAATTAGACTACCTTTTTACTTCCATTGTAACAAGTGTTCTAGGGCAATGGTTCCTCTCTACAGTGTAATGTTTGAATTGTATTCTAGGGTGTTATTGCATGGAGTATACAGTACTTAAAAAATTGTTTTGTATTACCATGGTATTTTTTGAAAAGCTGCTGGGACCATTTACCACATGCCATGAAGTATGTGTCATTATTTCTGGTAATTGGGTTAGGTTAAAAGATTATGGATGAATTCTGCAGTAAAAAATGGTGTTACGTAAAAGGTCAGAAATGTCAATATTCTATGCTAATTATAATTGTTGTAATTATTAAATATGTAAATGTTTTATCTGCATCAAAAATATACTGCAAACGTTAGTTATTTCATTGGTTGCATGATTGATAACACCAAATCTGCTACTGACACACTGTGTAGGAATATATGCAGTATCAAAGAGGGCTAAGTGAAAAGGCTACTTGATATTACTATTAGCCATGCTACTGGTTGGCTAGGCTAGGAGAGGATTCCTTATCACAATATGAAACGTTGCTTCATTTCACCTGCTATTGAGCAAGGGAAATGACATATTCCCTTTTTTCTCATGTGATATCGCTGTATTTACTCTTCCAATGTTTTATGTTTAACTAATAGAACTTGAAGTTGCCAGACTAAGCACAGATGTGAATCTAGAAGACCTTAAATTCCCACAGAATATGGCGCATAGCAGCTCTATTCAGCTGTCATCGAATACACTAAGACAGAATGGTCGGAATGGTAAGTAGTTGGTAGTTAGTCATCTGGAATAAAAAAAATGTGTATGCATGATTCACGTGATGCTAGCTTTAGTCATTTTTATTTTTCTATTGCAATATTTTTTATTAATTTTACAAAACATTTAAAGGAGAAATTGGGTTAGTCTAAAAGATTATGGATGAATTCTGCAGTAAAAATGGTGTTACGTAAAAGGTCAGAAATGTTAATATTCTATGCTAATTATAATTGTTGTAATTAATAAATATGTAAATGTTTTATCTTCATTAAGAATATAGTGTGCACTTTAGTTCGGCTGAGCCGCAGTGCAGAAGGAGTTCGACTCAGCCGATCCAACATCTGGATCGGCACAGCCGAACCTTTGGCAGGCTACTCGCTGTCGTTCGGCCTGAATGCTGCCGAGCGGCATTCAGCCATTCTGCTTAGTACCTCCATATGTATGTATGTATGTGTGTGTGTGTATATATATATTGTGGCAGTGCATGGCAATGCACTGGTGGGCAGGAGACCAAACCCGCCAGTCCAAGCCATGAGGCTAACGTGTGTGCAGTTGTGCATAGCAACGCATGGGAGAGTTCCTTGGAGCCCACAGGGGGCGCCAAAGATGAGTGGACAATGTCAACACAGAACCAGCGCTCTGAAATGAAGTTAACCACGGTGCCTGAGAGGGGTGGTAAGACTGACTTTGCTGAAATGTTTGCTGGAACTGTTTGTCCTGTAGTAAAAAGGAATGACTGTAGCTTTGGGGGTGAGATGGGGGTGAGAACGCCAGTAGAGCGGCCCATGGCACATTCAATGAGAGACTTGCCTTTGCTGAGTATACAGGAATATGGAGAGGCAAGAGTTAAAAATGCTTGTGATATTGTTGATGTAATAATTGTCAAAAATGCATGTCGGGATGAAAATGCGTTGTTTGCAACCAGGGTGGGTGCAACAGAAATATCCTCGGAAATCTCGGAAGGGCTCAAGAGCGTGGAGCCAGAGATTCCCCAGGGTAATTGTGGTGCCGGTATGACAGGTCACAGGGAAGTGTTGATGCCAGGGTTAATTTCAGAGCCGACGGCTCAAAATGTGGATTATTCGATAATGTCATTGATTATAGTTGAAGGTACACAGGTTAATAATGAAATTGCTGGAAAGTGTACTCAGCGTAATGTTCAGCTGGGTGATGTAGTGCCACCAGCTCAGAATAGTACAAATGTGGTAAAATGGCAGGGTGTGTATGAACACAAGGACACCCCATCGGTTATGGTAACTGAGGAGTTAATGCGTACCACGCAGCCTTTGGTGTCTCCTTGGAGGGAGCTGTTGGAACGATGGTATAGCTTTGATGGGATCCCAGACAGCGTATACTGGGGTCAGTTGCTCAAATGTTTGTTGCCTCTAGGGGGAGATGTGTTGTCTGAAGCCCCAGAGATAAATAACCATGAGTTATTGCTAACCAAAATGGAAACGGATGAAAATGATGTACTGATGCTAAATTTTGAAACTGTGTTAGACGGTGACGGGACGCACAATATTTCTGCTTTGCCAGAAGGGTCGGCTGCTAATCAACTGGTCCATTGGCGCAGTTGCTAGTAGAAATGGGGAACTATGAAGTTGCCGGAGAAGAGGAACACTGTCAGGGGTGTGGTTCCTCTACAGATACTGTGCTGTCCTACGGTGACATTGATAATGGTAACAGTGGTGAAACCTATAATGAAATGGAAAATTGTAAGAGTCTGGTTCTTACCACTAATCGCATAAATGCTGTATTATTGGAACATGAGGTTTCTGTGTTAGACTGTGGAGTGGTGAACATATCCGCTGGCCTAGACCAAGGGGCTGCTGAACACTTTTTGGACTAGGGGGCGTGTGTTGCAGTAGCAGGTTTCCCTCTAGAGTCGGAAGGGCCGAGACAGAAAAGAAGGCCAGTGGAAATGTCACCTGTAACCCAGGGAGGGGTTAAAAAGGATATAGGGGGTGCCATTGAGTCTTGATATAACCCAATCTGTCTGATATTATGCTACATTATTTGATATGCTTGTTCATTCATTGTAAATGAGTATTCACTGACTGCCTGCGTGCAGTCTTTTGGGATAAGTTTGAATGTCAGATTATTACTCTGTTAAATAAACGTTGATTTAAAAAAAAAAAAGGATATGGGGAAAATGCCAGAAGGTACTGATGTAATGGCAATAATGAATGTGATTTGCGTACAAACTGACAAAGGTGTTACTATAATAAAGCCAGAGGTGTTGGTTGCTGGGAGCAACAACACCGAAACTGAATGGGTCAGTAACGAGGGAGTGGTGATCAGAAAATTCCCTACTGACGAGGACTTGAGTCTTGAATGGGGTGAGGGGACCGAATGGGTCAATGGGAAATCTGCTAGTGTCCCCAAAGTGATTGACGGGGTTAGCGGAACTGACTGCCAGGAGTTGGGTAGTGACAGTCCCCATAGTGGTGACAGTAGAGAGACTGCTACCTGGTTGACTTCGACTGTCTCGGTAGTGACCGATAAAGGCTATGTAAAAAAGAGGAAGGATGTGGGCCCGAGGAAAGTACAATGTTATGGGTGGAAACGCACACGTAAAAAGGCCATACTGGGTCCACTTAGTACCTCCAATAGTGTAGTGGAGTTGGGATTCCCCTTTATGGATGACGGACTGTTTGGCAAGACCAGAGACAAAAGGGACACATTTTTGAAAGGTGTCAGATGGTCAGACGGGTTTCGTCTGTGTGTCCGCTCCTCCGGATGTGAACAAAGGAGGGGGGGGGGATATGTGGCAGTGCATGGCAATGCCACAGTGTAGTATGGCAACTTCGGTGCCCAGGACTCTCAGCCAGAGGGGCTGAGAGGTTCCACAATGTGAATACCTTTGGAGAGGAGGAACTGGCTGTTCAATTACTTCCAGGTTTTCCAGACTATAGTGGGATGGGATCTCATGTTCTGGGGCCAGGTGTTGCCAGTGGCCAGGTTGGGCTGAACAGGTGGCTGAGAGCAGCCTTATTAGGAAGCCAGCCCAGTGCTTTGGAGGAGAGTTGTGGGTGTGCAAGAGGCACACGACGACAGGCAGACTCTGCTGTGTGCGTGAGCACAAGGGACACAGCCAGGAAGGCTGGAGAGGTCCAGAGGGTGGGTGACCCTGAGATACCTGTTGGGGAGACAGAGAGGAACAGTGACCCACGAGGGGTGGATACTGAACCGCTTGGAGCTGAGGAAAGCTGCTGAGCAGTGCTGAGGACTGTATTCACAGAGAAATACGGTAAAGTCCCAGGAGAATCACACGGGGAGTGTAAGGGACAGACAGATGTTGGTGAGACCAACTACAGTGTCTTGATGAGACATGTACTGTATGTACTATGGATCATTTCACCTATTCATGTTAGCAGAGGAGAAATGTAACTCTATTACTGCAGTGTACTGGAAGTATTTACTGTGTACTATGGGTCATTTAACCTAGTACACACTTCCAGTACACGGCAGTAATAGAGTTACAATTCTCCCCTGCTAACATGAGTAGGTTAAATGATCCATAACACATACAGTACACACTTCTGTTACACTGCAGCAATAGAGTTACGATTCTCCCCTGCTTCTTCCAATCTGTCCCACTTCCCCCAATTAAACCGGCTGGTGACCCCACCTTCAGCTTTCACATTGTGCTGATAACAAGCACTGAGCACAGGCCCTGTCCCTTCTGACATCCACAGCCAGCTCTGTCACAGCTTCCCTCACCACATGACACAGACATACAGCCCTGGCTCCAAAAGGCAACTCACAGTTCTTTAGAATGGCTCGACTCAAGGTGTCCGGTCCCTGGTGTCTCACACGTCCCTCAGGTAGTCGGCGCTGGGCGAAAGTGCATCGGCGTGGCTGTGCCTGGTGACTTTGACTGGCTTGTGGGAGGAGCTTCTGTAGGGTCCCCATTTCGCTGGACTTCTATGGATTTTTGTCTGACTGAGAAAGTCAGTGGGTAAAATGCTAGTGATTGGCTTTCCTTTTATAAAGCCTAGCACACACACACACACACACACACACACACATTTATACTATACAGCTATACAGTATAATATATAGGTAAGATGGATATATGTCATACAACTAAAGATACATTTGGTCTACATTTTAATGTCAGTAATAAAGAGATATTTAATCTCTAGTTCATATATCAATGACACGTTAGGGGATCCTAATTTGGACAGTACATTTAAGAATCTTTTGCACTTATATGTGTTTTCTGCTTTGTGTATTTTTAGGTGAGATTAGAGTTGCATTTGTCTTGTACAATAACCTGGGTCGCTACTTGTCCACGGAAAATGCAAGCATTAAATTAGAAATGGAAGCTTTAACCACAAATCACACAGTTGTTGTTAATTCTCCTGTGATTACTGCAGCAGTCTATAAGGAATCAAGTAGTAAAGTCTACTTGACTGATCCAGTGATGTTTACCGTTAAACATATAGAGGTGAGTGAACATATGTATATTGTGTCTAATGATGATACTACCGGTATGTGATGTACTAATGATCTTTACGCACTTTGTTAGTTATTATGCTTAAATGCCAGTAATGTTTACTAAAAAAAATATATAAAAATTAATATACTCCAACAATTTTGTATAGTTTTATAGCTATTATCTTCATTCCCTTAATGTTTCAGAATATAGTGGTACAGACATCCCAACTCTCCCAGACGCTCCAGGAGTCTCCCGCTATTAGATAGCGGTTCCCGGCCGCCCGGGAGAGAAACATTTTCTCCCGGAAAGGTTTACTCTGCTATATCTAGCAGAGTAAACCTTTCCCTGCGTTCTGGTTTGGTTTTTTTCTCGGACATTGGGGCGGCCAGGGCGCAATCAGTCAGAGAAAAAAAAACAGCATAGGAATGCATAGCTAAATTGCTATTAACTATTTCACTTTGCAATAGCCAATAGCAAACTAGCTATTGCACTTGACCACTGCTGCTGTCAATCAGCAGAGGTGGGGCCTGAAGTTCTCCATCAGGTCCTCTTTGAGTGATTGACAGCAGCAGAGGGCGGGTGCAATAGCCAGCTTGCTATTGGATATTGCAAATTAAAATAGCCAATAGCAATCTAGCTATGCATTCCTATGCTGTTTTGTTTTTTTAATTCCGACGGTAGCAGCTGTCGGAATACTAAAAAGAAACAAACACCGGATAGCACGGGAAGCAAAAGCTTCTTTGCTCTCTGCCATCATTTTAGGGGGGTGTTCTCCCCTGGGCACATCCCCGAAATGAGAAGGGCACCTCCCTGAAATTGCTTTTTTTCAGGTTGGGATCCCTGGTAGCAAAATTCTGAAATACCAGAAAACTGTAAAAAAAAAATATTTTTTTTAATTAAACATAACTGTTAGTGTGAATAGCCCTGGATACTTTTCAGTAATTATACCATAAAGTATTGTTGAATTATTGACTGAACTGTCAGTAATATACTTTCAAAACAGCATCTCTCCCCTTCCAATAGGAATTTTCGATCCAATGCATTTTGCTTAAACGTTGGTGTAATGAAACCTTAATTTAGCCTATGGGTGATGTTTAGGTTTCAATTTACTGACATTTCAGTGAATGCAATCAGAAGTTAATGTTGGTAAAAATGACGCCACTCAGTTCTCTGACCACTTCAGCAATATCTTCATCCCAGTGGACTCTCTCTTCTTGGAAAAGATGTATACTCCTACCCCTTTTGCTGTACAAGGAATGCGGCAGTGCTTCCTGATCTCTGTACCATCCCTACAAACCATGACAATGTCTATATACTGGTTTATTCTTTTTTTTTTCTGTATTGTGTATGTTTTGTATGTATTATAAATGAAAACCTAATAAAACTCACTAAAAAAAAAAAAAAAACATTACAAAAAGGAAATACTGTAACGGCCCAGCAGAAGAAGTACTAGTCATTACTAGTCATTCAGAAGCATTGGTGGAGATGCATTAATCTCTACTCGCTGACTGTGCCTAGTTTAAGTCTAAATTCTAACTTGAAGAAAAACCAAGATCCTTCACAATTTTAATTTCGTTATGCAAAATTAAATCCCAATTGCTGAATAAAGTTTAACACACAATAATAACCTAGATAAAGAATATGATATCATGTAGACTCCATAGCAATGCCATTGTTTAAATAAAGGTCAAGAATATTATCAAGGGCTTATTATTTCTAACTTAACTGGCAGACTAGCAGACTAGTAATTTATCCTACTTTAGTGACTTCAGTTGAGCCCAAAATATTTACATTTAGGAGTTATGGAAAGAGTAAAGTTTTTTTTTCCTTTTTATTAATATCTATATACCCAGCTTCTTTTTAGTTTATTAATATCAGGTTCCAATAAATGTGTCTTTTGAAGATGTAGAATGCATATACTCTCTTACCTGCAAAAACTCAGTTTTTGCAGGTGCCTTACAACCATCTTTCTCTTAATTCCAAAATGTTAAGTTAATATAAATTAACTAAAAATAACATTATATTCCAATTACAAATAGTCACATAATATAATATTCACAAATACATTCAAGAGATGGGAAGCATGAAAAGTGTTCTGTTCTGTGTCAGGTTTAGGTCTCCCTTGGATACAAATGCCTGTTACTTGTGAAAATTGCAGTGTGAATCAAAATGTTTCTTTTTTATTACGACCTCAGGGGAGAAAACATGACTTATCTGTGTTTATATAAAAGATTAGCGCTACAGAAGTTGAAATTCTCCATTTTTATTTTAATATTTTAGCTTGAAAAAACTCTAGGTTCATCCAAAAATGTGGCTAATTTACATAACTTTAACAGGGTTATTCACGAAAGGGTGAAGAACAATCCAGGCGAACATAGCTGAACTGGAAAGGGAGCTGAATTGGGGAGTTTTTCCAAATTGGCAATTTTGGTCTAGATTGTTTACTTCTCCTGCCTTCTCCAAACGCTTTACCCTTTTGTGAATAACCCTGTAAATTGTCGTATTGGCTTATTTAAATACAATTGGCTTTTTAAATAACTATTATGTGTTTAGTAAAAATCCTTAGGAATTTAGAAACTTCACTGTCTTAGCGGTTTCTGATAGTCTTAAGTTATTACACTGGGGGTCCCTGTGCTTGTGTGGGTTTCCTCCGGGTACTCCGGTTTCCTCCCACACTTCAAAGACATGCTGGTAGGTTAATTGGCTCCTCTCTAAGTCGGCCCTCTATGTATGCATGTGAGATAGGGACCTTGGATTGTAAGCTCCTTGAGGGTAGGGACTGATGTGAATGTGCAACTATGTAAAGTGCTGCGTAAATTGTCGGCACTATATAAATACCTGTAATACATAAATAAATTACACAACTTGGTCCCAAATCTTCAAAATGAGTCCACATCTCATCTTCATTTTCTTATTGTAGTATATTGTTTAAGTTTTATGCATGTGTAGAAATTTAGTGTTTCTCCCAAATAACCATTTTAAAATATATCTTTTTCGAATCATCATTAGGGTTATCTAATCAGGTTTTACGCTTGGCTACCAGAATGATACTGGTATCAGACAGCTTTTTAATTCCTCCTGTGTGGCAATAAGCATTACAATGGTTTTTAGTAGAGAAGTTAATTTTCTTAAGTCTATTCAATTTTTTTGCAAAGGATAAGACGTTTGTTTAAAAATAGCAATAAGACAAATCTTAGCATTTTGCAGGGCTTTTTTTTTAAGAAGAGAAGATACATACACTGTGAGGAAATAACTCTGCATGCTAATGGGATACATTTATAAATGCTATAATACACAGTTATATTAATCATTAGCATTTGAGGACCTATTTTTATAATATTTAGTTTGCATATAGGAGTTGCAGTTATTTACTTTTTTATAGATGCTGAATATTATAACATGCATTTGTGTTTCTGTTTGCAGCAATCTGATGACTATTTCAACCCTAACTGCTCATTCTGGAGTTACTCAAAGACTAATTTTTCAGGTCACTGGTCAACACAAGGCTGTAGACTTATGACAACAAATAAAACGCATACAAAGTGCTCATGTAATCACCTAACTAACTTTGCTGTCCTCATGGCTCATGTTGCAGTTAAGGTAAGTAATGTGTGATCAATCTATTACATCCAGTATATATCTGTACAACTTCAACATTAGGTCACATTAGAATATACTTTACAGTGTTAATGACATGTAGCAACAATTTTTTCGTATTAGAATTATTATTGCCGTATTACAAAATGTAACCGAAATCTTGATCCACAAGCAAGGGAAAAATTAGCATGGTGGCATAGTGGCTAACACTGGACTTTGCAGCACTGGGTTTCCAGGTTTGATTGCGGTTTCTTTGGGTGTTTTTAATTTGAACTCCTACACTCTGAAAACATACTGATTAAGTACATTCTGAACAAAATTGGGCTTTATGTGTGAATATGTGAGACTTGTGTGTGTCTGTGTGTGTATGTATATATATAAATGGGTAAGCTAAGCCGTATTAGTCCAGTAGACAAGATTGTGTCTATGGGAATGTTTGACCATTCTTCCAGAAGCACATTTGTGAGATCAGGTACGGATGTTGGACGAGAAGGCCTGGCTCCCGGTCTCTGCTCTAATTCATCCCAAAGGTGTTCTATCGGGTCAGGCCAGTCAAGTTCCTCCACCCCAAACTTGCTCATCCGTGTCTTTTTGTGGACCTTGCTTTGTGCACTGGTGCGCAGTCATGTTGGATCAGGAAGGGGCCCCAAACTGTTCCCACAAAGTTGGGAGCATGAAATTGTCCAAAATGTCTTGGTATGCTGATGCCTTAAGAGTTCCCTTCAGTGCAACTAAGGGGCCAAGCCTAACCCCTGAAAAACAACCCCACACCATAATGCCCCCTCCACCAAACTTTACACTTGGCACAATGCACTCAGGCAACTACCGTTCTACTGGCAACTGCCAAACACAGACATGCCCATTGGATTGCCAGATAGAGAATTGTAATTCGTCACTCCATAGAACACGTCTCCACTTCTCTAGAGTCCAGTGGAGGCATGCTTTACACCACTGCATCCGACGCTTTGCATTGCACTTGTGGATGTAAGGCTCGGCTGCAGCTGCTTGGCCATGGAAATCCATTCCATGAAGCTCTCTACGCACTGTTGTTGTGCCAATCTTAAGGCCATATGAAGTTTGGAGGTCTGTAGCTATTGACTCTGCAGTCAGTTGGCGACTTCTGTGCACTGTGAGCTTCAGCAGGCACTGACCCCGCTCTGTCATTTTACATGGAATTGCTGAGTTGCTGTTGTTCCCAGTTGCTTCTACTTTGTTATAATACCACTGCAGTTGACCGTGGAATATTTGGTAGCAAGGAAATTTCACGGATGGACTTATTGCACAGATGGCAACATATCACGGTACCATGCTTGAGCTCCTGAGAGCGACCCATTCTTTCACAAATGTTTGTAGAAGCAGTCTGCATGCCTAGGTGCTTGATTTTATACACCTGTGGCTATGGAGGTGATTAGAACACCGGAATCCAATGATTTGGAGGGGATTCCCAATACTTTTGGCAATATACTCTCTCTATCACACACACACACAAATGTCTTCCACCAACATTTATGGAATAATTCATACTGGCCCTATCACAATAATAGCACAATTATATACATTTAGATAAAATATTCAGCACTGTGCAGTATGTTGACAATGTATAAATAAAGGATAATAATGAGCGGAATGTGAACCCTTGCCATTAAAACTAAAAACTGTTCTTCAGTAATACACCAATACAAATAAAGTATTAAAAAAAGAAACCTGTTTTAACACGAAGAGCTTACTGTACTAGTATCAACATTTATAAATCGCCTGTCTTTGTTTTGTTGTTGATGGCTTTACATATTGCTGTTTTTCCAAACTTTTGTCATTATCCATGACCCACTTCTATCAATATTGCTTAAAATGTCTCCTACTCAATCCTTGAAGCTTACATTCAAAATGATTAATCCAGTGAAAGATGTTGCGAATTAGTAATAATGTATAGTGACATAATGGCACATTAGTGAAATTGATTTATACTGCACATTAGTGACTAATCAGTGGCCACAGCCACTACAGCACTTTGACAATTACTGTGACATTAATTTTTAAAAATGTATTGATTAATTTCTGTTTTTACATTACTATGGTTATGTCTATGCCCTCAGAGCCCTACATCAGAAGATACAGCAATTGTTTAGGAAACTAGAGCACATGTTTGTCACGTGCATTGTTTTCACTGGCTGTTAATATTTAACTGCTAGGTTTCTATTCTGATCTATTCTTTAAACTTAGTTATTACATATGTATAAATTGTTTTAGCTTTTTAACTTAGTGTTAAACAACCTTTTTGAAGAGCCTAAAAAGTATCTATAAATTCTTTACAATAACATGTGTAAAGCATAACTCAAAATAACTCAAATTCAAAAGCAAATTGTCACTTGAAATTGTGTATGTATGTCTACAGCATTGGTATGACAGCACATATCAGAAGAAGAACATGTGTATATAGTATTGTGCTATGTCTGGGTTCATTTCCTTTTACTATATGTTGATATTAATCTCATTCTGATAGGATCCTGCTGCACTTTGCAGGCAGATGACTTTGGTGCACTGTGATAATAACCTCACAAAATCATAACTAATCTCTCTCCAGTGCCTTCTTCCCCACTCATGGAAATGCAGAAGCTCCACTCACTACCCCACAGTTATCATATTCGTGGCAACCCACTCTCGATCGACATTGTGGGTACATATCAGCCAGGGCTACCAAGCTCATATTTTGGTCAAAGGCCCAAAATTCCTGGATGGACAAATTTTTCATGGACACATTAGCACACATTAGTAACATATTCTAATTAGTTCAACGTTATTTGTAGTAATAATACTGTACTAATATAAACTGTACCAGTAGCCAATACATTGCCCTTTAGCTCATGTCTAGGAGTTTAATAGGGACATTGCTTTGTCAGTGCCAAAGCTGCTATGAGCCAACTAAAACTTGTTAATGAACTTTGCATTCATTGCTTCAAGACTGGAGCTGAAGTGTTCTTTAAGGCCTTCCAAAAACCTGTTTGCACTCACGTCTTAACATATGGTTTACCGACATTCAAATAAAAAAAACATAACAAAAACATCACAAGCTATAAAAGATGGCTAATGTTTGAAATACTGCATTTCTTAAACAGTGCGGCTTGTTTGATAAAATGTGACATGCCCATAGACAGGGAATAGCTCCATTCCTCCTATGTTTAGAGCAGGAGAAAGGACAACCTGCTGAGGGGAGCAACATGTGGTTTACGCAGTACTGAAAAATGCATGTGGTTATATTGCACAGAATATATGGGGCATGGTTAAAGGAGCATGGTTGAATAATTTTTGAACGCGGTCGCAGTATACACTGCACACATTATGTTAGTTATACTACCCACAAAAACTCGTTAATTACTATGCCATAAACATAAGTCTCATATACACAGATAAACCTCGGGACAAAGGATCCTTTTTAATTGTGAAACTGCCATTGCATATCCTTTCTTTACATAAAACATAGACCTTTCTAGGTTTGTCTCTGGCTAGCTTGGCAAGGAAGACTTTTATCTAAGCCAACTGACAGGTGTTTTGAGCACAGCAAATCAACAATTAGACCTCAGAATGAAAGCACAAGGAACTGCTATTAAGTGTTCTGCACTGCAGCGTGTCTGCTGTTGAAAAACATTGTTTGTGCGCTGCCTGGATCCAAGCTTCCCCTTGTGTTGTTCTGGTTTTGCAAAGCTTGCCTTCTAGTTCCTGCAGTGTGAAGAATTACCCTGATCTCCTCCTGAATCTTTCTTCTAGTCCAATGGCAGAGATTCCCAAAAGATTGTGTGAAAGCTGGGTCCAGAGGGCAGCATGGAAACAAGTGTGCATGATGAAAAAATAAAAATAAATTAATATATATATAGAGAGAGAGAGATATCTAGATATATCTCTCTATATATAGAGAGAGATATATCTAGATATCTCTCTCTCTATATAGAGAGATATATCTAGATCTCTCTCTCTCTCTCTCTCTCTCTCTCTCTCTCTCTCTCTCTCTCTCTCTCTATATATATATATATATCTATATAATGAACTTATGTAATAATAATAAAAATTGACTTAAAAAATGACTGTCCCTGCAACAGAAGTGTTATACTCTGGTGCCCTGTGTCTTTACCCTACCTTCACTCCATTCCACCAAGCAGACTTTGTTTTCCATCCTGGTTCCATCCTTTGACCATTATATCACTTGTATGTCCCCTAGTGATATGAGGGTCAAAGGATGGAACCACAGCACGCAGTGTGGGACTCGGGCATTCAAAACATTAGCAAGTGTCAAGTGCTGAACCTGACAGAGGCTGCAGTGCTGAAACAGAGTGATAGTAGGAGACACCCGCTGCTGTATTGGAGAATAAAATAGCCCTTCTATTGATGGGAACCTCTATTTTGAATTTTT